ACTTCAATAGCTGTGCAATCACAGGTTCACTGCTCATTAATTAATTCAGTAGGTACTTTAATACTATGCATTTGAAAGTAGCCAGCATAGATACACACCAAAAAAAAAAAAAAAAAAAAATCACTGGACTGGCGGGAATATGTCTCTTAATATCTTAATAGCTGGACTTATTTCTAACACAGATTCTTATCAACCAGGTGGCCAGTTCAGGATTTTCAGTATTTCTGGCAAAACTGAATATTGTCATCCGAAGCACAAAGGGATGGAGGCAAAGTTAAGAGGAAGAGGAGAACACTTGGGGGTGTGAGAGACAGGTCAGGATGAGGATGAAGAAAAGCAAAGCCCTGGAAAGCACATGTTACTACTTACAATGGTATGAAGAGTGGAAGCAAAGTATTTCCTTCAGGAAGGCATAACCTCCCCTTTACTAGCCATAAGCTGTTTCCAGTCCCCATCTCCTTCCTCCCTCAGTGGTGACCACTGGCACCTTCTAGGACTCAGATGTAAGCTAAGTAAGTAGCAAGGTCTTGGCAATACTGCTACCAAAAAAAAAAAAAAAAAAAAATCACTGGACTGGCGGGAATATGTCTCTTAATATCTTAATAGCTGGACTTATTTCTAACACAGATTCTTATCAACCAGGTGGCCAGTTCAGGATTTTCAGTATTTCTGGCAAAACTGAATATTGTCATCCGAAGCACAAAGGGATGGAGGCAAAGTTAAGAGGAAGAGGAGAACACTTGGGGGTGTGAGAGACAGGTCAGGATGAGGATGAAGAAAAGCAAAGCCCTGGAAAGCACATGTTACTACTTACAATGGTATGAAGAGTGGAAGCAAAGTATTTCCTTCAGGAAGGCATAACCTCCCCTTTACTAGCCATAAGCTGTTTCCAGTCCCCATCTCCTTCCTCCCTCAGTGGTGACCACTGGCACCTTCTAGGACTCAGATGTAAGCTAAGTAAGTAGCAAGGTCTTGGCAATACTGCTACCCCACGTGGCCTTCTGCGAGTTTCATGTACTCACTTGAGTCAGGGCTATACTGACCACTTTTATCAAGTCTATGAACAAGTAACTGAAAATAAGTCTTTGCATTAACATGTCATTAACTTAACATGCTCTGCGACACATTGGGTTTTTTTCTGTATAAAAGCACCAAACTCTGAACTGGGCCATACTGTCATAAAAGCGGGATCTAACCAACAACATCAATGTTAAGCACTGCTTTATTCATACAGCAAGTTCTTCATTTGATGAAATATTGGGGAAAAAAAAGAAATCAGATTATGTGTGTAATGAGGAAGACACTAGTTTCCTGTACAGGGATACTGAGGTAGTCCTGCATCGAAATCGTGGGCGTACACCACAGCTGGACTTCAAGGCTAGCAGGCTTACAAGCATACCCATGTCTCCTGCACTGCACTCCCCAGCACTCAACTGCCTGCTGACAAGCCCTTCCCTAATTCAGAGCCCTGGGGGCTGAAGGTCAGAGAACCTAAAGCCAATAGTAACTCTGTCTCACTGCTGGCCAAGTCAGACACAGGGTCACACAGTAGCAACCCTCACGCTTCCACAACCATCTTCTTCAGCTTTCTCAGCCAGCGATAGAAAGGGAGAACTCCATGCATTCAGCGCTGCTAATAAGCTCTCTCAAACTCGGCATGCAGTTGCTATACTCAGCATATGCTTGGATCTGACATTGCGCAGGAGCTAGCAAACCCTGATGGGCCCTTGATAAACAACTGCACCAGCAGTCCTCAGTTCCAGAAGGAAAGTCCTCTGAGACACAGAGCCTGCTCTGGATGGATCCAATTTTGGCCAGCTGCATGTCTGTAAAATGTGAAAGCTGTATGCTGATTTTACCCCTATAAGCAGTTAGACTGCTTAGATTCTTTAAATCAATGCTCTACAGCAGTCTTCCTACACTTACTCTGGTCTTACTGGATTGTGTAAGGTGAAAATCTTTAAGGCAAGGAAGCATTTTTTTCCACTGTTCTGCATGATTTTGACCGATGTTAAAAATGTCAGAAAAAGAAATTAAAGCATTCAAATTCAGAAGCCTGCGTCATTTCTTACTTACATTGGGTTTACACCTGCTCTAAGTCTCCTGCATTGAGGCCCTCTGCAGGCATCATCCTGTGCACTGCTCTATTAAAACAAACACTTGCTATAGTCACAATTTCAAAACTGCACTTTGTGTGATGGTGAAATCTTAGCGTAGCACTTACTTTGTGTAGATAATATTAGTACGTCAAAGTGCTGAAAAGAAGGGTTCATTAGTTCATTTTGCAGCAACAACTATTTTGCTTATGCTGGCACACGGGAAGAGATGATAAATGATTACGTTCAGCAACATTCTGGCAGTTTCCTTATCATTAGATGTTTAATTAGATGAAACAATCTTTTCTGTTTTATCTGGTACATCTGAAAACTGTCCCTTTACTAAAAACAAAAGTGTAATTTGTATAACTGTAACTCACTGCATTCAATTCACAAAGCTTTATACCTTAGGCATAATACAGGGTTATGTTGCTATGTGTATGTATATATTCTTTGATATTTAGCTCCCAGGAACTCTGTTTACTTTAGTGGCAGCTTAATGGAGCCTACAAGATTACAATCTTTGTAAAATAACCCAATGGCCATATATTCCAGGGTAAAATAACATACTTTATAAAAGACCAGGATCGCTTATGTGCTGAATCGCTGGCTCTCCAACAGCCAATGCGTGTGCAAGCAGATTATTTTCTATGAACTGATTGCAAACCTGATTAACTCTGCATTTCTTTCGTCTTGTGGTTTTCAGAAAGCCTTTTCATGGAACAGGTATTTCCCTCAAGCTGACAGGATACACTTCTTTGGGACAAAAGAAACAACAGCAAAAATTATATACGGTATGTCAAGGTTTGCAGCAATGAGATATCCATATGAAAATCTGTATTTACAAATACTGGATTCCACAGTTTATGCCGCACTTTCTCCTTATCACACTCTGGTCAAGAATCTAAGGAATATAACGTCATCACAAATCTCTAAGTTATCCTCATGGATAAATCTTTGTAATAGAAAGGAATAGGACTGGAAAAGATTCATAAACTCAAATGAAAGGTTTTCTAATTAGCATTTCTGTTTCTAACAGCATTATCTCAATTAATTACAGTGAAAAAGCCCAAATCAAGGTGTATAGAAACAGCCAATGACATTATTGGTTTATAGTCACAAAGAGTAACTTCAAATTTTAGGGGAAGCACTTTGTCTCACTTAGCCAAACAGTAGTAGTTTATCATGTCCGAAATGTATTTTTCACCAGTGACCGAATCAAAAAAACTAGGGTTTGTCTCAATCCAAGGCAGCTTTTAGACTACAGGCGTTCCACCTTCCTGTGGCTTCCAGCACACAGACTGATGTGACTAGTACCCCACCCAGCAACCTTTGCCTCCCAGTGCCCTGTTCTCCCTCCTATATCCCCTCCACCAGAGCAGTAAGAAGAAAAGAATACACAATGAGGCTCAAACATAGCTCTTCATCAGTAGCAAGACACCCGTTATATCACACCACTGGGAGTTACTTAACACAGATTATTAAAACTGTTTTTCAACTCAGACAACAGGTACCTTAGAAACAGATGCATAGTTGGGTATCACAATACGCTGTGATGAACAGCTGAATAAGCAGAGCTGTTCTATTTTTTCCCTCAGCCTTACTTACGCATTTGAAAGACCTCTCAGGTAAAGGTTAGAGAATGTGCAGATTAATGCAAAAAACTTTCATCTGCACTGCATAGCACATTCTATTTGCTTTTAGCAAGTCCCAAAGCTGAGTATAGTAATTGCAGAAATGAAAAATCACCACCTAAACTCAGCTCTAAGTCTGGAGCCATTCTTGAATAGTAGAAAAGGAGTGATATGAATGGATCTGCGGGATGAAACATTGACTAAAAAAAGACAAGTATGTTGTAATAATTGATCGAAACCTGAAGAATGTCAATAGCTAAGATCTCCTTTTTACAGATACTCAGCTACTACACTCATACTGCTGCCTGATACCAAGAGTAACAAACTACTGTAAAGCACAGAGGCCTGCATCCTTTGGTGGTTGTTTCAGAAACTGGTGACATATCCAGACTAGGTCTGGACAAAGGACTTTGGTACGGCAGTTGTTAAGCAATAGTGCAGAGACAAGACATTAGGCAAGATACCAGTTCACTGAAATAACTGCCCTACAGAGAAGAGGCCTTGCCAATGGAAACAATCACTTTTTTTTTATACCAGTGAGGGCTTTACCTTTCTGGTAAAGAAACCATTACCTTTCTGGTAAATGTGTCTCACTGACACCTGCAGTTGTTGAAGACTTAAAGGGATAGACGCTAGTGGCACTCTGGTAGGTAATGTATTTTAAAATCCATGTGTAACCTCAAGAGTTTATGAATTAAGTATAAAGGCACTTTTTGGCAGCCAAGTGTATATATATTTGCTGCCTGAGGACAGGAAGTTAGTTAAAAGTACAACTGAGAGAGCTTAACAGTGTCTCCAATTTATTATTAATGGACTGAAGTAATTAAAAATACACATTAGAGTGCTAAGAAACTGATGATAAAAGGGTCTTCAAGGGTCTGGTTCTTCGTGAAGTAATTTTTCTCATGAGCATGTTTCATTGATTTAGTTGCCTAATTCAAGGCAGTCCAAAACACTGAGTAAGGACTCAAAAACAATGCAGCAGCTGCATCCATACGGGTCAAATATCAGTAATTGGCTGTGATTAATTTGGTTTTCATTAATTTCACAATACTAAGGCTGGTATGTTCTTTAAATAAATATCTGATGAGCAGGTGCAAAGAATAGTATCATTAAAAATTAATGCTTTAAAAAGATCATGGTTTTACAACAAACATTTTAAAAAAGATAACTGCACAGTAACTGTAACTGAAAGGGTGTGAGATTTAACCATAGTCTTGATGTACTCAGCAATATAAAAAACCATCTCTACGAAGCTAAAACCTGCCGTAGTCAAAACAGTAACACTGTTCAAGCTCCATCCGAAGACTGACATTGCCACTTTGAGTAGAAGAGTATTTGTTATCTACGTCCTAGAAACCCTGATTGTCTGTTTGCCACACGTGAACAGGACGCACAACAGGCTGTTTTGTAATAGGTGTAGACACAGAGCCGGGCCTGAACCACCACATTGCAATTGTAGTATTTATCTTTGCAGTTCTCATCTGTGGAGAAAAAGGAAGAGAGAAGAAACTGAAGAAAACAGTAGTAGAGCAATAAATACCAAAGTCCTTTCTTCCTACCATGTAAAACCCCTTGGACTCTATTTAAACATTCATTGTCAGGTTAAAATAGGCTACCTATGCGAATAAGTTAGATTATTCAAGATTCTCTACGTTTAATATAAAGATACATAAAACCATGGAAGAAATGTACCTATCCCCATTTATAGTGTTGTCTGGGTTTTGTTGCTGTTTTTTTTAAACACAAAACTTGTCTTGAATAAAGATGATAGCAAAGTCTCTGGTATTCTTCACTTAGGTACCTGTCCACTTCACTTTTAGATTCACAGGTACTATCTCTTGTGGCAGTGTACAGATGGCAGCAGAACCTGCAAATGTTATTTTCAAGTACTGACAAAGCTAAATACTGGAAAGTGGTAAACCACCTCCCTCCATACAAACATTACAAATCGTTTCAAATAACTATTAAAAAAGACAAAAGCTGGTGTTCTTAACATTCCCCATTTTTCTAAGCTGTTAGGATGTGGTCTGTTCATATTTAAGTTTTACTTTGCAATCAGCAAGGTTAGAAATACTATTTAAGTGACACCTAAGATTTTCATATGATCATGTATGTGATCACAGAAACTGAGGTGTTAAGAAAAAGACCGAATGACCAAACACTAATGTAAAAATGAGCAATTCTGTACAAACTTGTTTTAAATAAAGAAATAACAACACAAATACAATAAAATTTTCAATAATATTGCCAAGCCAGGTTTATTATATAATTAGATTATGTTGAAGAATAATACTCAACTCGTAACAGCGTTAAAACTGTTTCTAAATACTTGCATCTTCCTTTCTCTAGTCATTCTCATTACTATTAAAATCAAAGCTGTATGTGATGAACGACTAATTTTGATGCCAAATTATGTGTATGTTTACTATATAAAAAATTGCTTAATTGCCCATAATGTCTTCATTTAATGTTATTGGTTCTTACAGAACCTGTTACCAAATACAGTATATCATACATGATCCTTTTTTTGTTTTAAAGACTCTGGCAAGAGAAACCTTTGAGAATGCAAGGAGGCTGCATAAAAACACCCTTTCTGTACCGTTTTCACAGAAGCAGATTTCTCACATTTCAGCAACTTTAAAAGTAAGCCAGTTTCTTACATGTTACAAGGAAAATGTTTGTAATAGGCAACGAAACCTACTTTTACACCACAGGAAAAAAGGTGTATTTTGTGTAAAAATAAAACCCTGAACTTGATAAAGAAAACATACTCTAAAACCTCTGCAAGATTATTAAATATTTTCTCCACTAGATGGAGTGCCACAATTAAAACAGAAGCTTCCTCTTACCTATTTCAGGGATACAATCTTGTGTGTTACACGGTTCTTTTTCTTCAGGTTTAAGCTGTGGATCACACTGAGTACTAGCTGTCATGTCATCTGATAGACATCGTACCTCTCGAACCCGAAATCCTCCTTCACAGGATTTGGAACACTGAAACACAAAAGCTGAAGTTCATGAAGACCATATGAGATGTCCAAATACAAAGAGAAAAAAATGGGAGCCTTGAAGCCAGACCCAGGTATCGCTGCAGCCTATCAACTTCACCACTTCTGTTTTTTGTTTTCTAACTGTAAAGTCCTTAACATGCTGGTGCAACTTCAGCAAAGGTTCAAAAACATTTTTGCTGACAGGGGCAACAACTGGACAAGTTAAATGTGGTGGACACTGCGCAATCTGAAAGCACACTAGCACTATAGCACACTATATTTCCCTTTCTGAATTTGTTAGTTAGCTTCTTGCTTCTCTCATTAGTCTTGTTCTTCTCTGCTTATTTATACACACCGCCCAAATCTACTCCTTCCACAGTGTTCACATTTCTTACTTTAAGAACTTCCTGCACTGAACTTTACTACTTGACTGCACTGCCCATCACTGCCCTTTTGCCTCCATTGATATACAATCAGGAATAATTTCAATTGCCTTTTTCCTAGCGCTCAATTATTTTTCACTTCTTGCAGCACAACAATTTTACTAAGCATTACGGGTTTTTTTTTAATTTCTAAAGAGAATGTTTTTGTGCTCCTTCAAAGTCTGTTATGGGTCATTTATAATGCTTAAAACCTTAATAGCCCCAAACTAGCAAGAATGTTTTCTTTCTGACTTTTTTGGCATAATTATTTCTTTTCCTAACATTGCAAAAACAACTTAGGACTATTGTAAGATCAGGTATCGCAGCAAACTAACAAAAATATTCTCAATAGTATAGTCTTGTATTGCTCTTCCAAGTACAACCTTTCCCCATTTTAGAAAACACATAGCCTTGTGATGACAGTACTAGAACACTTTTTAAATATAATTTTAAATAAATAAATAAATAAATAAATAAAT